TGATGTATTTCTAAATTAGTTTATTCATAATCGTTGGGATGACCGTTTCTGACAAGAAAGATATTTGAGTAAATTATATAAAGATACATACATTCATAATTTCAAACATGAGCGCATAGGAAGTTTATCAGGAATCTTATACGGGAATTAACAGTTAAACTCTGGTAGCAAATTCACGCTTTGGAGGCGCATTTAATATATACTTATTTTTTTAACACAATGTGGAATACTAAGACAAATTACGTATCAGTAATTCTTCATTATGCAAAAGCTAACATTTTAAAAGATCAGAATCACAATGAAATATTACACGGCCCATGAAAGTTGGTGGATGAGTATGACAGACTAGGAGCTTGGCCGTTCGAGCTTTCAGCAGAGGCAGAAATATGAAGTTGTTCGCAGTTATAGTTCCTGCCTCTGCTGACGGCCATGTAACATTTCAATGTGATTCTGATCTTTTAAAATGTTTGTTTTTGCATAATGTAGTATTACTGATACGCAATTTGTGTTAATATGCATTATTGTGGGTAAAATTAAGTATATATTAAATGCGTCCTCCGAAGGTAATTTGCTACAGTTAATTCATATATAAAATTTCTGATAAACTACCTACGTGCTCATGTTTGAATTAATGAATGTATGTATCTTTATATAATTTAGCAAATTATCTTTATCGTCAGAAACGGTCATCCCAACGATTATGAATAAACTAATTTAGAAATACATCATTACTTCAGGACGAAATCGGACAGATTTGCAACAGTCAATCTGCTGTAACTCTTGAAGAGGGGGCGGGGCATATCTTCTCAGCTTGAAAAAAAAAACCGCACAATGCACACTCACCACACGACAAACCTGCTACAAAATCACCTCCTCACACACACAAACACACACACACACACACACACACACACGCTCATTGCACACCACTACATAAGAAACCCCATACACTCATTACACTTTATATTTACCACATACTCACCAGACACAACATGTTCACCACACCCACTACATCACACAGTCACAAAACACTCACTCCCTCCTCTACACAATCACCACACCAAGCGACCACGACATCATAAACTTACCACATCACACACTTATCACATGCTCACTTCACTATATATTCACAACACACTTCCTACATTATACGCTCACCATTCACTCACCACACATTCACATTACCACATATACAGAGCTCACCATACACTTACCACACACTCATCACGTTACACACTCACATCAGCATACACCATCACCACACACTCATCTCACCAAATACTTGCCTCACCAAAAACTCGCCTCACCACACACTAGCCTCACCACATAATCGCCTTACCACACACTCACTTCACCTGACACTAACCTTACGAAAAACTCGCCTCACCATACACTCATCTCACCACACTCACCTTACCATACACTCTCCATCACCATACACTTGCCTCACCACCCACCCTCACTTCACACAAAAAGCGTTTCATCACACACTCAACTCACCACACACTCGTCTCGTCTCACCACATACTCCCCTTATCATACACTCGCCCTACCGCACTCTTATCTCACCAAACACTCATCTCGCCACACACTCACTTCACCACCAACTCGCCTTACCACACACTTGCTTCATCACACACTCACTCCCCACACTCACTTCACCACACACTCACCTCACCATACACTTGCTTCATCACACACTCTCCTCACCACACACTCGCATTCACCACATACTCGCCTCACCTCATACTCACCTCACACACTCACCCCACCACACCTCTCACCTCACCACACACTCACCAAACCACACCTCCCTGTCCACACCTGCCTACCACACACACTCCCCACCACACACATCTGCCCCACCACACACTCACTTCATCACACACTCACCTCATTACACACTCACCTCACTAAACACTCATCACACCACACACTCACCCCACCACACACACACACACCCCCCACCACACACCTGCCTTACCACACACCCACATCACCACACACCCCGCCCACCACACACTCACTTCATCACACATTCACCCCCAATATACACTCATCTCACCAAACACTAACCTCACCACACACTCACCCCACCACACACTCCACCCCACCAAACACTAACCCCACCACACACCCCACCCCACCACACACACACACACCCACCCCACCACACACACCACCCCACCACACACTCACCCCACCACACACCCCACCTCACCACACACCCACCCCACCACACACCACCCCACCCCACACACTCACCCCACCAAACACTAACCTCACCCACACTCACCTCACCAAACACCAACCTCACCACACACTCACCTCACCAAACACTAACCTCACCACACACTAACCCCACCAAACACTAACCTCACCACACACTCCACCTCACCAACACTCACCATACCACACACTCACCTCACCAAACACCAACCTCCACACACTAACCCCAACACACACTCACCCCACCACACACTCACCTCACCACACACTCACCCCACCAAACACTAACCTCACCACACTCACCTCACCAAACACTAACCTCACCACGCACTCACCCCACCAAACACTAACCTCACCACACCACCCCACCACACACTCACCTCACCACACACTCCCTCACCAAACACTAACCCCACACCAACCCTCACCAAACACTAACTACCACACACTCACCTCACCCAACACCACCAACCACACACTCACCTCACCAAACACTCAACCCCACCACACACCAACCTCAACACACACTCACCTCACCAAACACTCAACCTCACCACACCACCTCACCAAACACTCAACCTCACCACACACCCAACCCCAACACACACTCACCCCACCAAACACTAACCCCACCACACACCCACCCTCACCAAACACTCAACCCCACACACTCCACCTCACCACACACCACCCTCACCAAACACTAACCTCACCACACACTCACCTCACCAAACACTAACCTCACCACACACTAACCTCAACACACCACCTCACCAAACACTAACCTCACCACACACTCACCTCACCAAACACTAACCTCACCACACTCACCTCACCACACACACCCACCACCACACACTCACCTCACCACACACTCACATCATCACACTCACATCATCACACAGTCGTCTTACCACACAATCACATCATTATACACTGACTTCACCACCCACTCACTTAACCACACACATCACCTCAACAACACTCACTTCACCACACACTCACCTCACCACACATTCATCCATCCACACCACCACCACACACCAACCCCACCACACACTCATCCCATCATACACCAACCACCACCACCACCCCACCACACACCACCCCACTACTCACTCACCTCACCACACACTCACCTCACCACCCACACACCTCACCACCCACACACCTCTCCACATATTCGGCCTGCCACACACTCACCTCACCATGCACTCACCTCACTACACACTCACCTCATCACACACTCCACTTACCACACACTCATATCATCACACAATCGTCTAACCACACACTCACATCATCACACATTCACTTCAACACACACTCACCTCACCACACACTCACATCACCACAAACTTACCTCACCACACACACACTCACTTCATCACACACTCACCTCAACCTCACACTCCCGTCAGTACACACTCACATCATCACACAGCTACCTCACCACACCCACTTACCTTATCACACACTCATTTCACAACACACTCACCCATCCCACACTTACCTCATCACACACTTACCTCACCACACACTCACCTCACCACATACTCACTTCACCACACACTCATCTCCCACACACTCATCTCACCACACACACTCACTTCAATACACAGTCGCCTCACCACTCTCTCACCTCACCATGCACTCACCTCACCACACACTCACCTTACCACGCACTCACCTTATTACACACTCACCTCACCTCACACTCATCTCACCTCACACTCATCTCACCACACACACTCTCTTCAATACACAGTCGCCTCACCACTCTCTCACCTCACCATGCACTAACCTCACCACACACTCGCCTCACTACACACGTATCTCATCTCACACTCACCTCAACACACACTCCCCTCATCCTTACACTCACCTCATCACAAACTCACCTCATCACACACTCACCTCATCACACTCTCACCTTACCACACACTCGCCTCATCACACACTCGCCTCATCACACACTCACCTCATCATATACTCACCTCACCACACCCTCATCTCTTCACACACATGCCTTACTACTCACTCACCTCACCACACACTTCGCTTCAAAACACACACTCGCCTCACCACACACTCACCTCACCAGGTAGCAGGCTGTTATCAAACAGGGAGGTACTACCACCTGGGAAGATATTGGAAGCATAATGTGTTGTCTAATGGTATACCCTGCTGCCATATGGCATCACAAATTTTTTTACCAAGTTTCAGGTTGCTGATCTGACTTTTACACAATTGCAGGGTCTCAATTGTTTCTCTTACCATTGACAACATAACATACATATATCGTTTCTCACACTTGATCTTTTATTTAAATTTTGTATTTATTTTTTTTATTATTATAATTTTGATTGGTTGATTTATTGAATTATTTATTTAATTTTTTTTACGGGGATTAGCCCACCCGGACACAGGCCACTTCAGGTCAACCATTGGCGGGAGTAATAATAATGTAATAAATAAATGAAAACACAAATAAAAAAACAAATCAAGAGTGAGAAACGATAAACAACAGGTTTGATGTGTTGTCGATAGTAAAAGAAACAATTGAAACCCTGTAATTGTGTGTTTTAGAGGCAGAAAGTCAAATCAGCACTTCCCCACACACTCACCGCACCAGAAACTCACCTTACCACACATTCACCTCACCACACACTCACCTCACCACACATTCACCTCACCACACACTCACCTCACCATACAGTTACCTCACCACACACTCACCTCACCCCACATTCGCCTCACCACACACTCACCGTCATCTCATCAGCTGGGTGGTCAATAAACATGATCTCACTCTCCTCGCCGTCCAACATCACCGACACCGAATGTTCACCAAACTCCTCATCTGGAAAGACAAGAAACTCCTTCAGCTTTTTCAGTTCTCCGAGAGGATCGACGAGTCCTTCGGGTATTCCCCAAAGGATCCTAGAAGACAGACGAACCGAGAATTGTCCCTTAACAGTGAGGGACATCTTGGAAAGGTGTAAGAACTTCTTCGGGAGTTGGAGTTTAAGTTAAAGGTATCGAAGGACTCCCAGAAATTCAGCACCGAAGGACCCTAGGAAGCTTACAATAAAAGCAACACGAGAAAATTGGTGAAGGAATTGTACATCTCACCTTAAATAGTTCGTCTTAAGGAATTCTTTATGGCAGAGGGAAGAGGACTAGATACTCTGTAATAGCCTTTTTTAAGAGGGGGGGGGGACTCTAAGAGGATATGATACTTCGAGTTGTAATTTGTAAATGCGTTTCACTGATTGGGTGACATTAGGTGAGTAGGAACGAGTAGCTTAGTTTGCATAAGTAAGTATGGATTCGTTTCTTGGAGGCGGTAAACAAGAAATTTAGTAAGGTAAATACTTCATATATTAATGAATCTGATAGGAATAACTCAGCATGTGCATAATGGGTGGGACGGACGAAGAGGGGTGTGACGGATGACGAGGGTTGTGACGCACGATGAGGGGTGTTGTAACGTTAGTGAATTGATTTTATGTAACTTTATACCAAAAATTTAATTTATATTTTTCTAAAAAATATTCTGACTATGTGACGCAAAAATGGCGTAATAGAATTAGTTTAGTTGTCGCTCTGAAAAGAAAGAGCATGGAATGACCAACTGGTAACCATTGTTTACAGAAACACTAGAATTGTGAAGTAATCTTTGATTATTTTAATATTTAAAGTTTTGTGTGAAGTATTTTGAGGATTGAAGAACATTTGGAAATATGAAGTAAATCTTTCAATTTTATAACCATGTAAATTCAGCAAAATAAGTTTGCATCTTGTTAAAACTTTGTATGTTATGGTAATACATATGTAATTTTCTCAGTAAATACACACCGTTATCTTTTTAAATGCTATTTGCATGATAGCTTAATGATTATAGATCATTTTTATATAGCTGAGTACCTATAAATATTTCAGATTGCTTTATAAATTGGGAGTGACTGAGGGAAAGTTTTGTGGAAATTTTGGAGTGTTGTAAGGGAGTGGATAAATTTGTTCATGTAGTTCATTGGTCCCCAACCTTTTGTAAGCTCTGGGCCACATTTATCATCGTAAATATAGTGGAGGGCGCCAGAACTTTGGATCTACATTCAAGAATTTTTTTTTTCATATATACTGTACAGTTATTTGCAGTTTTACACGTCCAGCTGTTACCCCAGTGAGAAGGCTGGATCTCTCTCTGGGCTCGGGTCGGGTAAATACACACGTCCCGTACACGACAGACCCAAGACAAACGCGCAGATCCTCCTTCTCCCTATTTCTCAAACTATAAAGTTGTATCAACTTTTATATATTCTCATTAATTTCACTCTTACAAAGAATCCCAAATAATTAAAAATTTTCTAATAAACTCTTGCGGGATCCATAATATGGATCCGGGCGCCCGCGAACTGCAGGTTGTGGACCACTGGCTGAAGGCCAGGGTAATAATGAAAGAAAAGTTTCTTCAGAGTTATAAACATTCAAATAAAATGTATAAGATTATAATGTGAACAAAATTAATAATATATTTAATATAATAAACTGGAAATGTGTAAATTATATTATAATTATTCGTGATGGAGAGTGTGGAGGCCGCCATTGTTATTTCATATTTTGGAGAGGCAACATGTAATTTTCCCTCTAATATATATATTTTTTAATTAAGTGTTAATACCATAAAAAAGATGGTAAGATAACTGTTATTTTTGTAGTATTGATTAGAGTTAGATGTAGAGTTAAAAATATTTGTTACAAGTGAATTATTAACTTGCTATAGTGAAATTGTAATCAGGCTGAGTTTGTAAACAATCGAATTTTTCAGTCATGTTAGAATGTTTTTGTGTGATGATTCTTAAAGATAATACTAAATTAATACAGTAAGTAATTAGTGAGGATACTTAACAGTGAATATAAGAAAGATATTATAGTTTCTCCAATTTTTAATTGAACAGTGAGAAAGCAAAGTGCAGTATTACTTATTATTAATAGGAAATATTTGAGTGAAATTTCGGTGAACTTCTTGGCAACTTAAATGATTCTATGTAAAGTGATTTTCACTGATTTAAAGTGAATTATTAATATATATATAAATATATATATATGTTAGGAACTGAAAATAAACATTTTTTCAGGGGTTCGTGAGTGTGCAGTTTGTAAGGAACAGTTAAAACTTTGCTGTAAGTCTGAAACTGTGGCTAGTCCAAGAGGTTTCCACGTATTTTAAACATATTGGTGGAAAGGAATACTGTATACAACTTGGAACAAAGGCTTATGGTTTACCTAAGTGTAGAAGTTATGTGATAAAGCTTTTTAAGGTCAATTAAAGGTGAAAACTTATTTTATTTTTATAAGCAAATGAATTTTTAGTGAGAAATTATCACCATATAGGGTATGTGTGATTGAATTATAAATAATTATGTTTATGTATAATTAAGATTTTCTATCAAGAAATCATCACTAGATAATGAATTGTTTGATTAAATTACAAATAATTATGTCTGTATAATTAATCTGAGTATTGATTTAATCCCCATCTTTGCAAGCAAGGAATTTCTTGATTTGGTAACACATATATATATATATATATATATATATATATATATATATATATATATATATATATATATATATATATATATATATATATATATATATATATATATATATATATATATATATATATATATATGCAAATAAATCACTAGGTGCGCGTGATCCAAGTATATGCTGATAAACTACAACAAGAAAACACGAAGTTCCCAATTGCTTTTGTATTCATAAGAACATAAGAACATAAGAAAGGGATACTGCATGAGGCCGACTGGCCCATACAGGGCAGATCCTTTCACACCCATTCCAGCACTTCCATGTGCTTCCATCCAACTTCTGTCTTGAAGTTTTCTCCCTAGCGTCTTGATCCTACTATAGCACTTCCGGTAGCCTATTCCACATATCCACAACTCTATTACCAAACCAGTGCTTGCCTATATCCTTTCTGAATCGGAATTTATCTAATTTAAAGCCATTTGTTCTAGTTAGTTTCTGTTATTACTGGAGCTTCAGAACATCTTCCATTTTACCCTTGTTAATCCCACTTACCCAATTTGTACACCCTATCATATCTCCCCCAACTCTATTACGCCTCTAATGAATGTGTTCAAGCTTTTCAGTCTTTTCTTCTTCATATGGAAGGTTTTAATATTATGGGATCATTTTTTGTTATCTTCTTTGTACTCTTCCAAAAGAATCTATGTCCATTCTATAATAAGGACACCAGAACTGGAACCGCATAATCCATGTGTGGCCTCACTAATGCTAGGTAAAGTTTCAAGATAACGTCAGCAGTTCTGTTACTCACAGACCTAGATATGAACCCAAGAACTTGCTTGCCTTGTTGCTAACGCTAATACATTGTTTTCTAGGTTTCAAGTCGTTGCTACCAAATACACCCAGATCTTTTCACAAACCGAGTTTTCTATTTCCGTGTTACCTAGTTTATACTTAACAACAGATTCGTCTTCCTATCTGCACCTTGCATTTATCAGTATTAAAAATTCATTTTGCCAGTCTACTGACCACCATGTAAGGTATCTAGATCTCTTTGAAGTTGCGTTCAAAGTCACTGTCTGAATTTATCACCTCCCTATTTTGGTATCATCTGCAATCTATTTGCTAATCCTACTAGTTATGCCTAAAATCAAGATCATTAATGAATATACAAAAGCAGAGGGCCTAATACAGATCCCTGGGGAACTCGCTTTGGACTCGCACCTCAGTCTGACTTAATCCATTTATGCTGACTTTACTTCCTACCAGTTAACCATGACTCCATCCATTTAATACTGATCCACCTATTCCATGTGCTTCTACCTTCCTTATCAATCTCTCTGAGGGACTCCCCATCGAATGCTTTTACTGAAATCTAAATAAATTATATCATATGATTTATCATTATCTACCGCCTACATACTTCTGGAGAAAAAAAGCTACAAATTGTGAGACAAGAACGCCCCTGGTGAACCCAAGGAGAAGAATGTATTGTTGAATGTTCTAAGGTGGCTTCTTGATTTTTGTAGCACACTGACTCTCTAGCAACTTTGCCTATGATTGACGTGAGACTAATGACGGTAATTTGATGCTATTGATTTATCACCCTTTTTGAAAATCGGAATCACATTTGCAAGTTTCCAAGCTTCTGGCACTGGGCCCGATTCTACCGACTTATTAAATAAACTGCTAATGGATTACTCAACTCATCTCTACATTCTTTTAATATTCTAGCATATACCCTTGCCTGACCAGGCGATTTATGAGGCTTCAGTTTGTTAATTACTTGAAGCAATATCGTTGCTTAGTAATATTGATATTCATCAACATATTTTCTATACTGTCGTTATATATAATTATGAACTTCTGAAACTGTGCTAGGTTTTCTATTTGTGAATACGGAGCGAAAATGACTATTTAACGTGACTACACATTTAACTCATATCATCAGTCATTTCTCCTGTCGTAGTTTTAAGGGGACCAATTGTATCTCTAACCTTGATTTATACAGTTGATAAAAGCTTGGGGTTATTTTTCGATTCGTTTGCTACCTTGATTTCATAATTTCGCTTTCCTAATTTCTGTTTTACCTGTCTTGTTAGGTTCTGATAGTAACCAAGTAAGTGATTTTCGCCTTTCTAACTTTTCTATATACTCCTTTTTTCCCAGAAGATCTAAGAGTCTATTATTCATCCATTTTGCTGGTTCCAGACGATCTGAATTTTCTTTAGGGATGTAGTTTATTTTGGGTATTATTGATTGTCTAATAAAATTGTTCATAAGTAGCTGCTAAATTCAAATT